CAACACCTCAAACACCATCAAGCAGCGATTGAGATGCGCCATTGAAAGAACATACAGCTCAGCTGAAATCATATTCTGCAGCCCTACTAAGTCTATCCAAGTTCCACGGGCGAAGGATGTCTTGCACGTCACGTCAAATTGTGTTTACGAATTTACATGCACTTGTGGATGCAAGTACACTGAGCGAACTCAAAGACAATTGGCGGCCAGGTCAGTTGAAAAACTGCCTAAATGGCTTCTAACGCAGGAGAATAAGATTCCATGGTCTTCTATTACAAAACAACTCCTTGACAGCGGTCATTCGGTTGACCCCAAAACTTCTTTTCGAGTATTGGTTCAAGCACGAACAACTCGGTTTCTGCGCTACCTGCAGGCAGTCTGCAAACATTCATACGGCGGGAGAAACCCAACCTATGTAAACAGTTAGACCACGTGGTCAACCTCAGCTTGCCCTGGTAGATCTGAGCCCTTATGATTTGCGAAATTCCTCGACGTGTTGACTTCCCCCATTTTCTTTCCTATGTTGCGTTTTCAAGTTACCATTTTATTGATTAGTCCACGTGCAGTATACGATGACCTTGCTGCTTTACATCGATTTTCTCTGTGGAAGTTCAAACCTCTGTGCCTTCCTCACTTGTTATCTTTGTTATGTAACGACAGGCTGCAGTTGATAAGCCGTCGCAAAATGTACTTGTTCCAATAAAGTCTGCCGTCGATGCCTGCTTTAAATACATTCCGGGGAAATATTGCTTTAAGTCACACGGAATTGTTGTGCACATATTGGAGTTGCCAGCTACGTGGGGTACTACACCCAGGTTGACAAAAATGCACTGCAATGGGCACGTTCCCTACGTGGAGTTTTTCTGTCGAATGACCCAGCCTTCATTGCATGAAAGCATTCCATAACTGAGTTGGCATACTACCGTGTGGGGATTGGCTTCAAAGTAAACCCTGCCGCCTCATTTTTGACTTTTTTATTCATCTGAAAGCTCATCGAAAGGTGTCTGCTAATGTTATGTGCGTCATAGCGCATTCTGGCGACACTGATACCGCCCATCCGTCCGAGGCCACTTAGTACTTCCGAGTCATGTGGATGAACGAAAAACTGAGCGCTTCTGTTGGGTATTTTCGCCATGAGACTAACGGTGTACTGCGACTGCTACCTTTAATTAGTAGAGTAGTCAGGAGGATAGCCCTTCGAGTGACAAAAACAGCAGTAAGGCTGGTCGGGCGGGAACAGAAATCCGGACTTCCGGCGAACATACGGTGAAATCGGCACACTGAACTCCCGCCAGCATACCAGGCTCAGTGAAGAAGTGCTCTGCGTGGTTGGCAAGTGACCGCTCATTGGAAGAAGGGAATTATCTATCATGCTTTTTATTGTGGTTTGTTTGATCTGTCAAGATGAACTTCCGTGTAATTTGGACTGGCCAACTTGCAGTAGGCGGACTAACTCATGAAATATCAACCGACATTCCGAAATGCGTTTTCGCTTCGAAAAGATTACTTAAATAGGTTGTAAAACTAGTCATCGCGCAGCATAATTCTGTATTAATTGAGTTACCTCAGGATGCCGGCTTTCGAGCAAACTTATTTTCAGCTGCATGTAAAAATTACACTCTATGAAAAACGACTATTTATGTGGCATGCATTTTTCCCATTGATTTTCGATGCCTTTAAAAGTTCAATCATACTTTATGGAAAACATGCATAAAAATATTCATTCTTTTGCTCATTCGGTAGATACTTACGTCTTCTTCTAATTTTGTACTCAAAGCAGGGGCAGGGTTTTAAAAAACTTTTTCGATTCCCGAATAATTTTGAACCCGCTCTACCATAGCCATTGGATTCAGGGCTCCCAAACTACAAGCAGTACATTTTCCGCGTACGGTAAACCATACATTTCTCTACGGTATTAAGAGGAGACTATACGGGTTCATAAAATTCGGCAGTGGATTTGAGACATATTGTTAAGTTTACAAGCCACATTGGTAAATGTTGAGATATGACGTTTTATGAACTGGAAGAAGACGTAAATTTCTACCGAATGGGGAAAAGAATGAATATTTTTGTGCATGTTTTCCATGAAAGATAATTGAATTTTTGAGGGCACGAAAATCAATGAGAACAATGCATGCTACTCAAGTAGTCCTTTTTTTACAGAGCATATTATTTGCGCGAGGCCGGATAGAAGTTCAATTAAAAGCCGGTATTTTGATGTAACTGAATTATTATAGAGTTATGCTGCGTGATGATTAGTTTTACAACACTACTTGAGTAGTCTTTTCGAATCGGAAATGCATTTTGGAATTTCGGTTGACATTTTATGACCTAGCCCACCTAATGTATGCCCCTTCTAGATGTTAACCACCCCAAACCCCACCTTGACACTCTGAAACAATCAGTGTAACGCTCACCCTACCATGCGTAAACCCCACTGAAATAGGTGTACGTCCTTCTGCCGAGGGCTTTGGATGGAAGTAACTTCGTTCTGTTGTGATGGGGTGGTGCCACAGGGTCCCTCGTCTTCGATGGTGTACCTCTAAAATCCAGTAAACTCCTCTAGCTCCGTCTAGACCCTGTTGCAAAGTGAATTACACACTATTACTCATTACACTTGCCTGTGTAAGGTTAGGACACTACGGAATGGGACGCGGCACGCATTGCGGAATGGCGACTCAGACTGCAGGAGAAAGGGAAGAATACGCTTTATTTTGGAAGTTTAATTCTACCTTTTCGGCAAAACCTTCTCCATTCACCACGTCAAAAACACAAATGAAGAAATGACAAGAAAATATGTAACCGTATGACTACTGTGAAAACAACTCTCGTCTACTTTTCTTCGAATTTCAGTCCCTTTACTGACTGCTGATATACCGATGTACAGCAAAAGATATTCTGGAAGCCACGACGCATGTGACAAAAATACTTCGCAGTAATTACTTTAAAGCGAAGGGGATTGGCAACATTAACTCGAATTCGATCGGAAAAGTGTCTGATCTTTGCGAATTATGGTTGTTCTGTGATATCGAAACAACAGAAGACAGCATTAGAAGGACGCGTCTTAAAATGGTAGGGAAAATGAGGGGAGAACAGTGAAAAATAAAGAGAAGAGTGTAAAGAAGTGTGTTAGAAACGCAAACGTCGAATGTGCTAAACAGGCATGAAAATTTTATTGAAAAGGACTCCAGCATAGTGGTGAAAGTTAGAGATTCACGAATGGGAGATGGTCTCAGTCAAAACAGACACTGGACTGATTGCCGATTACCGAGTATAAGACCAGCTTCCAATGACCATCCAAAAATATGGCGCAAACCAACCCTTAGAAATGGGAGATGAGGCCCATTTTTAATAAAGGGGCAAACTAACATCTCGGCAGCATGCTTAACCTATAGGCAATTACTGGTCGAAAAGAGGTACCGTATGGAATCGAATCTTGAGGTAGTCCAAAGTCATAAGAAAAAAAAGAGTTACTATCCGATTGCCAGACTGGACAAGTTGTATACGGATGACAAGTTAATCCTCAAGTCAGACGGCAATCGCGCCTCGAAGGAAATGCCCGTGTAGGGCCACCCCGGTGACCTTGAATGTCGGCGGATTATGAAACGGAGTCGGTGGCTATCTTGCCCGTGTGCTCTAAGGTCACGTGTCCTTACACGGGTCTGTGTGTGTGTGCGGGCGTGAGGAGGGTGGGGTGACGGGCAGAAGGAGGGGGAGGGACGGGCATGAGAATGGACTGTGGCTAACGGCCTACACCCGCTCACCTGCCTGCGAGCAGCATAATCGGACCCACGGCTGGCGGCACTGGTCGTGAGGCTGTTCACAGCTGACCCTGTCGTTGTGGGCGGGAGGTGAGGCGGAGCGTTAAATCGAGATGAGCGCCAGTGCAGTGAGACTACCCGAGCGACGCCGCATGCTCTTAAGAGTGCGGTATGCCTAAATTTGGACACACTGCTCTTGATCCGTCTCCCTGCGTGGGAGTAGGTCTGGGCTGGCTGGAATGAGAGAGGGGGGAGAACAGAAATTCCAGACAGTTGGCCATAGCCCCTTCCCGTGGGACAAATTCTATAACACCGCACCTAACAAAATCTGTCAGAATGTACGCCGGGGGTGGGATTGGGTGGAGATCAGTCTGTCGATCAACTGGGGCATTTAACGGTATTGGGCGGAGAGGTTCCTACAACTATCATCATACGGTTATCTCGATCTCTTGTGCGTTTCAGCGATCAAAAGATGATCCCAGGGAATCAAATCACCACTGACAGGCGCAGGTGTTAACGTAGGCTCAGCATACAGCCGCTAAAACGGCAAAACGCATTGTCTGTCGGAGTTGGGATTTGTTATTTAGCGCAGTATAATAATTCAGAATACTCACTTAGGGGAAAACATATTTTTGTGCAGGACAGACAGCGGCAGACATACAACTAGTGTGTGTGAGAGGAATGGACACATAATCACGGTGGGTTTTGGGGTGGGGCCGGGGAGAACCGCTACGGTCCCCTGTGTTGGGGGAGGGGAAGGGAAATGGCAACTCAGTGGAATTGCATAGCGCTGGATTATCGGTCGGCGATGCAGGATATAAATGCATATATGCACCTGCGCCCTCCCCCACTTCCGGTTTTCTTGACTATGTCTTGACACCGGGGTCCAGATGAGGAGTGGGAGGAGAGGGCGCGGCAGATGCTATGCAAGTCTACTACCACTATAAACTAACTCACGCACAAGTCGCCGTGCCTGCTGTCACCTAGCTGTGGAGCACACGATGGACATCGTCAGCAGTGAGGGTCGAACTTTCAAGTGCATATATGCGAAAAAAGGCAGTCCCGGGGGCCACAATTTTATTGTCCTGACGTTCCAAAAGTAGACAAGCTTCCATCGTCGGAGGCGAGTAATTTACCACCTCTCACAGTATTTAGGAAGAACGACGGTGACAGCCATGTAAACACCGCGATAGTCATGCAGATTTAACTTACCCTCATACACTGAGGGGGGAGGTGTCGTTAATTGACTTTAGCGCTCATCGCCCGCATACGCACGGGGAGCTTTTCTGTAGTCACCGGGGCGGAAGTGGAGATAGGGTGACTGCTGTCAGTCAGCATGTATCTTGTTCGGGGGGGAGGGAGGGGGAGGCGGTGACAGTAACAACCCCGACCACCACCACCACCACCACCACCACCACCACCGCCACCACCACCACCACCACCACCACCACCACCACCACCACCACCACCACCACCACCACCACCACCGCTACCACTACCACCGCTACCCGGAACAGGAAATACAAACGTACGCCAGGGCAACATGGATGGTATCCAGACGGAGCCTGTCGGGTGGGTCATTAGCCTTAAATTGAACCAAAATTTAACCCATCTTTGTCACATGGCATTCGCTGTCGTTGCAGGGATGCACGCAGCCCGATCTACTGACGTTACGAAGCAATAGTCTATAGTTAAATACTATACATTGTCTCAGGTATTGTACTATAAACTGAACTAGGGGATATTGCCTGCTCTTTCACAGATCGGATTTCAAACAACAATACCCCTTTAAATGACATGCCAAAAATGACTAATAGATGTGTACTTCAGCGTTTAAGTGGGAACAGTCTCTTCTACCAGGAAGTAAAGGGAATGGCAGTCGGATCTTGTACATAAGGGCTCCCTCGTGAGGTAGTCTTACAGCGACTGGAAGATAAAGTCTGGCAGTCACACGAACCAAAATTTTGACCATAATATCCTCTTTCATAGCCGCATCTGTTAGGCGTTCGGGCTAAGGGTTGGTGTCAGGGTTATGGTCAGAGGTTAATGTAAAGAGTTAGGGTTGATATGGTTATGGTTCGGGGTTGGCATCAGAGATTTGAGTTAGGGGTTACGGTTAGGGATTAGGTTAAGGGGTTAGAGTTACGGGTTACGGGTTGGGAGTTAAGGTCAGGGTTAGAAGTTGGGGTTAGGGTTAGGTGCTAGTTTTAGGGGTTGGGGTTAGGAATTAGTGTTAAACCCCCTAGTACCGCCGATCCCGTATGACAGGCGGTTGCGGCTTGTCTACTGCAGGTACGGCTACGAAATAAGATCCGACCATTTTGACTTCACTAGTTTGATGAGCCCATTGTCTTAAATAAGGGGGACATATCCTTAACTGTCATTTTTCTGCTTCTATATAAATCTGGCAACCAAGCCTCAGTTATAAATATTTTGGAGCCGAAATCTTCCTCTGGAAAGCAGATCGCAGACGACGGGACTGGAATCCATAAATAGGGAGGTAGAGCTATAGTGACCCTAATTGGAACGGTCTTTGCAATGCTGCGCCTCTCGCACGTACCTGCACGCGAGCATCAGTTGCAATCTGGCTGACAGATATCACATCGGACCAATCAACGTCAAGGTCGTCTCAGACATGCCAGGGTTCTGACTTCTGCCTCGATAGGACTCGGACGCCAGCTCTTCCGGTGTCCGACAGTTGTTCTCGTCCGACTGCCAGCTTGTCCCAAGCTACTCTTAATTAATTCTGTATAGCATGCAGCTCCTTTTTCTCTACTGGCGTCCCACTTCGTCGATTTATACTGAAAACCGGGCCTTAGGGTCGCAGTGGCCCGCCTAGGACTTAAACTACTGCGACAGAGCCTTTGGCTTGAAAGTGCTAAATGATCACATGACATGAATTCCAACCGCAGACGAAGTATTAGAAGTGAGTTTAATGATTGGCTGTTCCTTACGTTTTCAGACAAAATTAACTATCGGTCGTCCATAGAAGGACCTTTGTCCACATCCTCTTTCATCCCACCATCCAGTGGTGCGGTATAAAAAGACCAACTTAAGCCGGACTGTCCGAATAACTTATTCAGAACCAACCGGCAACCACCGGGCCTTGAAAAAAAACTCAGACGCGTGGAAACCAGTTGACAGTGGCACATCTGCGGACTGTGCTACTGCTGACCAACGTTGTTTATCACATCACGTGTGCTGTTTGTTGTTGCATATATGTCGGCCACACAGGTAGGCGCCTTTGCACTTGCTGTACTGTAGTAGACCCCTGTCTGACTGAGGCAACTCGAAAGTAATTGCATGTTCTTAAACCAGAATTCCCGAGAGTGGAGGAGTCAGCTTCGCACGCTTTACACTTTAGATAAGGAGGAGGGTCAGACGATCTGGACGAAGTCACGTAGAACTCTCCAAAAGTCACTCTTGTATCCCACCTCGGTAAAGACTCGTTACCAGACTTTCCAACTGCAGGCGAAGTATTAGTAGTGAGTTGAATGGTTGACTGATGATAGCAGCTTTACCGACCCTAGTCCCTTATATTTTCGGACAACATCAACGGCCTGTCGTCCACAGAAGGACCTTCGTCCATATTCTTTTTCATCCCACCATCCAGTGGTGCGGTAAAATAGACCAACTGAAGCCGTACTACCCGAATAGATTATTCAGAACCAAACGGTAAAAAAAACTCAGACGCGCGGAAACCAGCTGACAGTGACAGGTCTGCGGATTGTGCTACTACTGATCAACGTTGTTTACCGCATCACGTGCGCTGCCTGTTGTTGCATCTATATCGGCCATGTAGGTAGGTTCCTTTGGACTTTCTGTACTGGGGTAGACCCCTGTCTGACTGAGACAACTCGAAAATATTGGCATGTTCTTAAACCAACAGTCCCGTGAGTGGAGGAGTCATCTTTGCGCGATTTAGACACTTTAGATGATGATAAGGAGGAGGAGGAGGAGGAGAAGAGGAAGAAGAAACAGATGATTTGGACCAAGTCGCTTAGAACTCTCCATAAGTCCCTTGTATGTCCTACTTTGGTAAAGACTCTCTCTTAGACTTTCCTTGGTGATTCGAGACTAATGAGGATTGAATGACACTTTTGTAAATGTTCTGAAGGATACTGTCTTAGTACGTTACTGGTTTTAGTGCACTAGTTTTAACCTGCAGTAGACGTCGAACATACAAAGTGATTTCGCAAGCCATTAACTTACAAGCAGGATTTAAGTATAGATCCGGACACAAAGGATCTGGCGGAATGATGCTGGGCTAATTCATTTACGGTGCATTGGCTAACCCGTATAAGTCGTATTCGGAAAAATACCCACACTATTTAAGCAATATACATAATCGACTGATTGTAGATGCTAATCCAGCGTCCAGCATGTTTCATGAAATAAACAATAAATCCTGGATAGGAAAACACGTTAGGGAGAAAAAGAGAGAGGAGTAATCGAGCACAAGAGCAATTTGTTTATTTTTTGAGCTTTCAAACTCCTACAGGGGCACATCGTCCGAGATGCTAGCACCAGAAGTGGTAGTTGTAGAGGGCTTATCAACAATAAGTGACGCATGCTTGGAGATGACTGCGCAGGGCTATGTACGCCGGCACCAGATCGACACACCAACTGATCAAGTTCCCATCTTAGGTCCAGGCTTCGACCGACATTTCCGTTGGTAAAGCAAGGAAAGAACAGAAAGCCTGAGAAGAAATCATGTCTCCTGTAAGTAAGCAAGCGAGGTAATATAAACATGTCATGCAAGTGTTTGACACTCACTGTTGTGGTAAGGATCTCATTGGATCCTATTCTGTCCTCCCGCCAGCTATGGTGTGTGTCCCAGGACACAGCGTTCGTTGTCGTCAGTAGCAAGCTAGCGGGCGGACAGAATAGGACCCAGTGAGATCCGAATCCCAACAATGAGGGTAAAACGCTTACTTGGCATGTTTATATGCCTCACTTGGTATGACCTATGACGTACTGATGATCGATACTGATACTGTCGTCAGTAGCGAGCTGGTGGGCAGACAGAATTGGGTCGAGTGAGATCCCAACCACAACAGTGGGGGGTCAAAGGCTCATTTGACACATTCAGGAGGCAGTCTCAGTAATAGAGGCACACGGAGTGTAGTATGCGCAGGAGGCAGTTGCCATACAACCATAGGCTTGCTTGAATAACATGTAGTTGCACTCCTTGTGCCTTCATCACCCCTATCTGCGACTGTCTCTGATGACGGGTCCAAGCGAGAATTCGAAACAGGCCAGTTAACTGCTTAATTCAGTGATCGAGTCTTCTTCCTCTCCTTCTTTTGAACTCCCTTCTCAGTTACCAACCTGGACTTTTTAGAACCCAGTTATGGGAAATATAACTGGACCGGGATTTGTGGGCAAAAGCCTGCGTGAAAAGGCACACTGTATACGTGGGGATCTGTTATCTAGTGCACTTTACACAAGTGGCTGACACAGCTCTCAGTCCGCTTTCTACCCTGCGTGTGAACTAGCCGACAGTTGGGTTGCAGGCTAATGCGTTTTGCAAGTGCGCTGGTAGGTGGCATTTGCACGCTGGGAGGCGCTCCCAGAGATGGCCACCGGTGCGTCGTGTCGTTTTTTAGCGCAGCGTATGTCTTAATTAATCGGGAAACTTTTAAAACTGACCGTGGACCGTTGGCAAAACGCACAGATGCAAGGCATCACAGTAAAACGGAGTCAACTGGCCGGCAGCCAGCACAAGCCACGACGGCATTTTGTCGCTGCGCCGTCGTAACCAGGTCTCCAATTTGTGCAAACCAATCCAACCCGTGCTTCTCTTGCCTTTAAAGTGGAGTGTGTTTTAACCAGAGTTTTTTCAGATGTGTCAATATATCAAACATCTGTTAGTCTGAGGGATTTGTACGTACCCCCGCTTTATAATTGGTCGAGATTTCGTTGACAACAGCGTGTGTTGATGCTGACTCCTGAGGTGCAGAGTGATACAAATGTTTGACATCCGACTGGGTATGAGGTGATTTTTTCATTCCGGAACAGAGTAACCAACCAAAATATGCGCGTCTTGTAAGTCACCTAATAGGCAATATAGATCATACCGCAAAGAAAACAGCGTGATCGTCATGGGTGACGGCGTAGAGCACCTTTTGGGTATTTACGATGTCGGTGATCAGAGTTGATCAGACAACAGATATTTTGCAAGATTATGCAGCCAAAAGAAAGCCAATGAGAGACCTATTGCATCATACTTAATTTCGTAACACATTCTGCGCATTCGCGAAAATGGGGTTTTCATTGAGTACACGAACACATGTAGATTTCAGAGGCCACCGTGTCGACTTTACGAATTCTTGAATCCGATCTGTCAAACATAATGCCCATGGCTGCCTGAAAGTCCTTGGAATTATTCCTCACAACTTATCTTGATTTATTTTGCGTAAAATTAGTCTATGTTCTGGGCTTAAAATGTAATCGAATGGATTTTCCGCAAATTGCGGATACTCACTGGACTACGGCGTTTCGATTGATGGAATGAGGCAGCATGCTTGTGCTTGGAAAATGCACAAAAGGCAGCAGCTCTCACGGATTGTGTAAATATG